TTGAGAATGTTCCATGTGCACTTGAGAAGAATGTGTATTCTGCTGTTTTGGGATCGAGTGTTTTATATATATCTATTAAATCGATCTGGTCTAGCGTTTTATTTAAGTCCACTATTTCCTTGTTGACTTTCTGTCTGGATGATCTATCTATTTATGTAAGTGGGGTGTTGAGGTCCCCTGCTATTATTGTGTTGCTGTCAATTTCTCCCTTTAGGTCTGTTAATAGTTGCTTTATATTCTTTGATGCTTCTGTGTTAGGTGCATATATATATTCATAAGTGTGATGTCCTCTTGGTGGAATATCCCTTTTATCATTATATACTGCCCCTTTTTGTCTCTAATTGTATTTTTTATCTTGAAGTCTGCTTTGTCTGATATAAGTATGGCAACACCTGCTTTCTTTTGCTTGCCATTTGCTTAGAGTATTGTATCCCATCCCTTCACTCCGAGCCTATGTTTGTCTTTAAAGCTGAGATGTTTTTCCAGGAGGCAGCATAATGTTGGGTCTAGTTTTTTAATCCATCCGGCCACTCTGTGTCTTTAGATTGGAAAATTCAATCCACAACATTTAGAGTGATTATTGATATATAAGGGCTTAATACTGCCATTTTACGTCTTATTTTCCAGTTATTCTATATTTCTGTTGTTTCTTTTCCCTTGTATTTCTGACTGCCATTTCAGTTTGGTGGTTTTCTGTGATGGTTTTCTCAGTTTTCTCTTTATTTATGAATTGTGGCTCTGCTCTGATTTTTTTAGTGGTTACCATTAGGTTCATATAAAAGATCTCATAGATGAGATAGTCCATTTTCTGATAGCCTCTTATCTCCATTAGCTTAAGCAGGTTCCATCCCTCTCCTCTTCCCCTTCTGAGTTATTGTTGTCACAAGTTATTTTTTTTTGGATGTGTTGTGATTTTGTGGCTAAATTGAAGTGTTTTTAGTTATTATAGATGCTTTCTTCCCCTTTATCTTTTATGTTATCTTTAAGTGTTTGCTAACCTATTCTGATAGAGAGCTGCAATTTTCTGATTTTGTCTATATATTTATCTCCTAGCTCAAAGCTGTAAACCTTTGCCTTTTGGTTTTAGATATGAGGGCTTCTTTCATCATTTCTCCTAAGGGAGGTCCAGTGTCGGTGAACTCCCTCAGCTTTTGTTTATTTGGGAAAGCTTTCATTTCTTCATCATAT